CGGCACCGCCCAGGAGAGCGCTGCCGCAGCCGCAGCGGCGGCGGCGGCCGCGGGGGCGGCCGCCGGCCCCGGCGACACCCCCGGAAGCAGCAACGGCGGCCGGAGGACGTTCGCCCCCGGGCAAGGCTGGCGGGGCAGGTCTAACCCCCAGCATGGAGGCTGGGGGGAGGGACGCCGCAAGGGCCACCGCTGGATGAGGGACCTCGCGCGCCGCCAGCAGCAGCAGTTTGAGCGCGCCGCTTCCGGCATGGGCCCGGTCCCGCCCGGAGTAGAGGTTGTGCGCGGCAACGGCGGTGTTGTCGGGTGCAACAGGCAGCCGTGGTGCGGCCCCCGCATGCAGCGCCGCAGGGACGACGACCCTGCTGCGCCGGCGCCCGCCGCCGCTGCCACCGGGGTTGTTCCGGACGAGGAGGCCCTTGCCGCTGCCACCGCCAGTATCTGCGGGCAGTTCCCGAAGCCGACGGTAGGCGTCGCCGAGAAGAGCGACGCCGACAAGGCGGCCGTGGCGGCTGACAGCGCTGCTGCTGCTGCTGCTGCTGCTGCTGCTGCTGCTGCTGCTGCTGCTGCTGCGGCTTCTGCTGACACTGCTGCTGCGTCGGTGGAGGAACCGGCTGAGACGGCGACTGCTTCGGCTCCTGCTCTGGACAAGGCCTCTCCGTCTCCCTCTCCTCCTCCGTCAGGGGAGTACCACGACATGCTCGCCGCGTCCATGCGCTCACTCGCGTCGTCCATGACAGCTTCGTTCCCCGCCCCGGGGTCGGGCTCCTCGGCCCAGGAGGGTGGAGCCACCGCCGCCGGCAAGCCCTCCCGCAACAGCGGGGACACCGGCGGCAACAAGTCTTCCGCCAAGCCCATGGCCAGGTGTGATGTTGGATAGCATGTCTGCCAAATGGTATCTCTATGTTGGTTGTGAAGTCCTTCAGTATTGATTTTCTGCGGGGGTCTTGTCCGTGTTTCTTTTTTGTTTTGTTTTTTGCTACGTAACGTTTGAACTATCGGTCACGCGGCGACCTTTAAACAGCAGCGCCACCGGTACAGCCAGTCGCATGGCGGTGCTTCTTTGTTCAGCGAAACTATATTAGCACGGTTCCCACCCGAACACAAACGGACTGCCCTCGCGAGGATTTTAGTTTTTTTTGCCTATGACATAATGAAATCGAGAGGAGGGGTTCGTGTGCATATCACTACCCCTGACCCCCAACCCCGTAACCCCTGTTGGACTAAACCCAAGGTTCCGTCAGTATCCTCCCGAAAACTGCTTGAAAAAGCACAATTTCTCGCTCCTCTAGTATCCCGGCGAAGGCTGCTGATACAATTCCCTGTTTCTCACACCTCTGATGCACGTGTTTCTGCGCTCTTCCATGATCAGGTTCGTGACGGATGTGTCCGTGGCAGACGGGAGCCCTCTTCCCCCCAACACCCGCTTCGTGAAGACGTGGTGCATGCGTAACGATGGTCCGGTCACGTTCCCCTCGGGCTGCAAGATCGTGCCCGTGGGGGGCGATCTCATGGCCGGGCCGGAGGACGGTGTGGCCGTCGAACAGCGCGGCCCCGGCGAGGAATTCCATGTGAGTGACGTCACAGAAGTGCCACAGGACCGATCATCGATCACCGAAATCCAATCGGGGATCGCCCCTCGGAAGAAATTGAGTCCATGAGAGGGAATAGAACAGGGGGGGGAGGGGGCTCGCAGACCCTATCGTGTTCCCCGAACCCAATTTCCCCAGTTGCATGCTTTGTCGCGTTTAGTTGGTCGAAGAACCGTACGAAGGCTACTACCACCAAGGGGGGGCATCGTATCGTGTTTGTGTGTCCTCCTGTGTGTGTGCGTTTCTCTTTTATTTGCCGCTCGAGAGGCTCTCTGCGTGGTGCAATGGTTGTCGTTGTCGGCGATGAATTTCAGAAAATGTACACCCACAGAAAATACTAGCCACGAAGATAAATAACAACACAGTTGGAAGAGGATGATGTATTACCGGGTCTTTGCATCGAGTGGGAAAAGAACCGGCTGGACACTGGGCTTGTTTTGTTGCAAAGCATGTATGGCCGTTCTTATTGTATACGTAAGGCTTTGCTAGCGCGAGAGATTGCTTTTTGGTGTGCACACCCGGGGAGTGTTTTTGGTTTGTAATATTTTTGTGTCTTCCTTTGGTCCCGAGACGCAGCATTTAGTGGGCGTCGGTTGGCGTCCAGGCGACCTACTGTAGCATCGGGCAGGGCGATGTGTTCCCGTCGGTGATCGGATGTGGGCAGCGCGTGAGCGTATGATGACGGTTCGTCTTGTGTTTCCCCCCTTGATCACACGGGCAGCAGGGGTCGGCCATGGAAAGGACTTGTGCACTTTTTTTTTTTTTTTCTCGCAGAGCACCAGAAGGGTAGACAACACGCGTCCCCTCTGTGCCCGCCGCTTGCTGACTTCCGCGACGTACCAACTCCTTCGTAGGAAACTCACATTTCCCACTCTCGTGTCTGCTCTGACCGTCTTGTTCCCTACATGTAAGGTGAGCGTGCCGCTTACGACGCCTCCCCTGAGCGGTCGCTACATCGGGTACTGGCGCCTGCGCACGGCCGAGGGCCAGAAGTTCGGACACCGTGTGTGGGCCGACGTCCTCGTGACCGGCGGGACCGCTGACCTCGTTGACGAGGGGACCGTGGTGAGGGATGGGGACGAGAGAGATCAGTGGCCTTGGCAGGATTTTTTGAAGTACTACTGTAAACATGTTGGATGAAAGGGGGGGGCCGTCTATAGTGCTGGTTGAAGTGTCAGTGTTCTCGGCTCGCACACTGAAATTCCAAGTCGTTGGCACTCTGAATTGTGCCGGTGCCTCGTATGGTGCCGGTAATCTCGGGACATACCCGGCTCTATAGAGGGCCCCACTGTAGGCAATTGGGGAAGTTGGGTTTATGGTTCAGGGTGTTTGGCCTGCGTACCCTTTTACTGTCCCCCCCCCCCCCCTCAATTTGGTTCTCGCAAAGGCGGTCGAGAAGAGATGGATGTTTAGCGACAGAAGAGAGAGAGAGGACATACGCGCTCGATGTATCAACATAACCGGTTTGAATGGTACACGTTTGTTGGGATGCAGCTGAGTGTGCAAGTAAGGAGTGAGGGAGACGAGAGGGCGATAGAAAGCGGGACACCTAAAGACTGCTCCTCGCAATCAGCGTAACCGGTGTTGACTGGTACACGTTTGTTGCAAAGCAATAAAAGGCCGAGTGTACGAGCCGTTTGATGAACGCTCTTGTATTGAGGTCGGGACTACTGCATCGATGCCTGATTTCTCTGTGGTGTTGCGAGGGCGTGCATGCATCAGTTGGCGAAGCCCTGAACACCCTTGTTGGTGCAAGTTAGAGCGAAATCATGTTCGGTCTCAAGTGATTGTGGTGCACCCTCTGACTCAGTTCTCTCTCACTACCAGAATGTTGACGTGCCACCTCCCCCCCCGTCCCTTTCCGTCCATCCGGTTCTCTCCACCCTCTCCTCTGCTACATCGGACGGAAAAAAAACACTTGAAAACGCTTCGCATCGCAGGACGGTGACTGGGACCTCGTGAACATGCAACGGTTGTCCAAGGCCGTCGAGGACACCGGAAAGGACGACGCCGCCGCCGCCGCCGCCGCCGTCGAACCCACCGCCCCCGAAAACATCCCCTCCACAGTGCAAACCCCTTCGTACGCCCCTGGTCAGGCCTGGGACCCCGCATCAGCCAAGGCCCAGGATGCCGATTCCGGTGCCGACAGGGGTTTCGAGGAGAGCAAGTCTTCGGATGACGCCGCGGCGGGAGGGGATGATGGGGGCTCCGTGGCTGATCCCTTGCCCGAGCAGCAGGCGGCGCCGGTTGTCGTGGCTCCCTCCGCGCCCTCCGTGCCCCCGACAATGGCCACCAAGTGGCACCGCGAGCTTTGCTCCCTCGCCGAGATGGGCTTCGAGAACACCCAGCGCAACGTGCAGCTGCTGGAGAAGCACGTGGTCAACAGCGGCAGCCCTGGCATGGAGAGGTGATTTTCTTTTGTTTTTGTCTCTTGATTTTCATTATTGGCGTCGTTTGTTTTTCTCGTCTCTCTTTTTTTTTTTTGTTTTTTTTTTTTGTTCTTCACTTCAAATCAGCGCTCACAGCACTAGTGCCGTTTATTCCAACCCGTGGTCACACAGAAGAGCCTCTCTCTACCCTCCCCTCCTGCGGTACTTCGCCTTCAATTTTTAATGCGAGAAGAGTTCAGCACTCTCTTCCCTCTGTGTACACACGAACTAGCGCTATCCACTTGGCCAGGAGCAGAAGCGAGAGAAAAACTCACTTTGCAAGAAAAGCTCGCCTACGCCGGGATCTCTCTTTGCTTTTGATGAATTGCCGCCAATTTTTTTTTTCTCGTTGCTTTTGAAAGTATGAATTGCTGCATCATTGATGTTGGGTTGGTTGCCCTTTGCCGTTCTTGAACGTTTTTTTCTTTCATCTCTTGCTTTTGAATGATTCGCTAGGGTCGTGGTGGTTGGCTTTGTTGCCCTTGCTCTCAGGGAACGGACGCATCTCGCCATCCTTTGTCGTTGCCGTGGATTCGATGCCAAAAACACCTGGAAGAAAAGAAGGGCATGTTTGAGTGTTGGTCGAGAAGATGGCCTTGCCTGATCAACCCGTTGCCCCTCCGCCACAGCAGGTCCGGGCGTTTCCTTCTTACGTTCAAGTAATTTTCCTACTTTGTGTGTGAAGTTTTCCGCCCTCCAGAACCACCTCCAAGCGTTCAACAATTCGCGACGCTAGCCTAACCATGTCTGCCGGAAGACAAAAAAAAAAAAAAAGCTAGATGAAATTTAACGTGCTTGCCCACCTCCCCGACCGTCATCTATGCCGTTCGTTCTCATTCGGACCGTCTTGATTTTCAGGGTGCTTCACGAGCTTCTCTCCTGGCGCGAGGTCTCCATCCAGTAGACCATCTCCCACTGCTGCTACGGTGAAGCCTGTTGGTGCCCCCAGCATCTGCATACGACGGCCGACGGAAGGCCGTTCGTCCTACAAGAGGGACGACCAACATGAAAAAATATATAATACATAACATGAGAAAGCGAATATGCGGCAACATCAGCACGACGGCGTGGACGGCATCCGAATGATAGCCTCCCGCCCGTCTGGACCTACACAACGTACCGTAGCATATGCGAACGATGATGAAGCTTTTTGCGGGGAGGGCGGGGAGGGGGGGAGGTAAATAAATGATGCGGGCGATGGTCACGTTGGCTGATGTCATGTCATTGGTAAAGAGACTGTTTCGTGTGCATACCGTGCAACCAAAACTCTTTTATAGCGCTGATGCTGGCCGAAAGAGCTCCAAACATGGCTGATCGGTTCGTACAGGGAGGGGAGGGGGGGCACCATTGGCATTTGTATCCTACCACCGTAACTTGTGAGGTTCGAATTCCAGCGTAGGCGAGCTTTTCTTGCTAGGTGAAGGCGAGTTTTTCTCTCGCTTCCGTTCCTGGCCTGGGTGGAAAGCGCTACTTCGTGTATAGACAGAGGGAAGAGAGTCCGAGCACCGCAGGATGAGGGGAGGGTAGGGGGCCTCATGGAGAGGAATTCTTCTGTGTGACCACGGGTTGGAGTAAAACGGCACAAGTGCTGTGAGCACTGAGTTTAAGCGAAGACCAAAGAAGAGAAAAATGAAGGAAGACCAACAATGTAGGGGCGGAAAGAGCCAGGTCTGATTTGCGATTTTGTCCATTTTTTCATTTTGCAATAGTTCGGCGTACGCGTCAATCTACGTTGTCGAGGCACGCGCCCGGACTCTGCATTGTGGTATGAGATGGTATGAACTCGAAAGGAGGAAATGTAATGATTTTTCGCGCCGCCTACGTATGCATAGGCGGGTTTCGAAGAGCAGCTGGGTCGAAAGAGCAGGCCGCTGTTTCGCCCTTTTGATCGTGCCTGCGCAACACGTTAGTCACAAGGATGTGACCAACGAGGTGTCGGGAGAATTTCTTCTTGGCTGCAAATAAGTGATGCGTTTTGACCGAAGCGATGCGGTCGGTGCCTGCCCTCGAGGCTGTCGCACTCCCAAAAGTCTCTTCGCGGCACGCGTGCAAGCAACGTTGAACACGCACAACAGAAGGATGCACGGCCCTTGTTACCTTTGAGACAACGTAAGATGATCTCAGGTTTTCTCGTCCACATGTCCGTCCGTCCACACACGAGAATGCCGGCTATTCTACGGAAATCTTACCCACCCCCAATTTTGTGGGTTCTTGGCGCACGGTGTGTTGTTGCTGTGACCACACACGGGGTGGGGCGCACAGTATGTGTACTTGCTTGGACCGCGTGCGCATGAGCACTCGTCGACATCATGATCACCAAAGATTTGGCATGACGATGAGTAGGCCGCATGCATAGATGAATATCCGTGGAGAGCTTGCCACAGAGTGCCAAAGGCGGCCGTGACACATAACTCCCAATAGGCCGCGCTCAGAGATGATAAAAAATCATGGAGAGCTTGCCGCAGAGGCGGCATGACTATGAGTAGGCCGCTTGCAGAGACGAAATTCGTCGAGAGCATGCAAAATAATAAATTCCACATGCGAAACGAAATCCCGCCGAGTTTTACTCCTCTGGCGAACTCCTGCTAGGTAGGCAAGCATTGCTCGATTCGCAGGCCAGGCATGTTCAAGCTGTTTGGAAACGTTTATATTTAAATATCGGATTCGCAATTAATGGCTCGGTTTCGATGTTCTTCGGGTCCTTGCTTGCTTGTACATGAGCACCACACCGCTTTGCCCGCTCAGCAATATTATACCTTTCCCCTCTCTACCGAACCGTAGTTTTCGCTCTTTTAGCCCCCCCCCCCCCCCCCCCCTCTCCAAAACACTTGGGTGCCCCCTAGCCCGGGCCCAACCCACGAAACAAAAGCGGGGGAATGGACGCCAAAGAAACAATCCCCCCCTATTTTTATCTCCACCTATTTTTTGGATTCTACCCCAAAAATGGGAAAACCTAAAAGGAGACCCCCCCCTCCCCGGGAAGGGGCTGGGGGGGGGGAAAGGAAAAGCCCACACACCCCGCAACTGAAAAAAAAATTGAAAAAAAAGGGGGGAAAAATCGAAAAAAAAAAAAACAACGCAAGGAAAGGGGGCCGGGCGAACGTTGGGGGTCGGGGTGAACGAAATGTCGGGGTCAGGGTTGTGGAAAAAAAATCCCCTCAACCATCTCAAATCAAAAAGGGAGGGGGAGTCGAAAGGATGGGGCTTCACACCGAACCCCTTGGCGCACAAAGGGAGAATGGTAAACACACCCCACCACCATCTTCTTCACTTTGAGAAAAAAAAAA